ACTTGACATGCTTTTAAAATCCAATTGACAGGATGCATGCCTGAAACATGTATTTATATACTCCAATTGACAGGATGCATGCCTGAAACATGTATTATACTCCAGTTGGGATATTTAGAGAATGGGTTTAAAATACTTTTTTTGTGTAGTTATTCCAGTGTATATACTGTATACGTTTTACACCTGTAATTATTGACTTATATTTATGGACTAAATCCATCTTGTTTACTGAGCTTGGTACTTAGTTAGTCATATTGAGGGTGGCATGTTTCCAGGAAATCAGTTATTGTGAAAATTGCCAGTTCTTCATTCAATATGAATTAAAATCACTTGTCACTTAAAGTTCTGTTTTAACGATGAGCAATGCATTAAACAGAGTGAAATGGTTCTGAAATTCAGTCTGTTAGGGCAGGGTTATAGGTTATCATAGATTAACTGTCTGGAACGGCAGGGTTATAGGTTGTCATAGATTTACTGTCTGGAACGGCATGGTTATAGGTTGTCATAGATTAATTGTCTGGAACGGCATGGTTATATGTTGTCATAGATTAACTGTCTGTTAGGACAGGGTTATAGGTTATCATAGATTAACTGTCTGGAACGGCAGGGTTATAGGTTGTCATAGATTAACTGTCTGGAACGGCATGGTTATAGGTTATCATAGATTAACTGTCTGGAACGGCATGGTTACAGGTTATCATAGATTAACTGTCTGGAACGGCAGGGTTATAGGTTATCATAGATTAACTGTCTGGAACGACAGTGTTATAGGTTATCATAGATTAATTGTCTGTTTGGGCAGGGTTATTGGTTATCATAGATTTACTGTCTGGAACGGCAGGGTTATAGGTTATCATAGATTAATTGCCTGGAACGACATGGTATATAGGTCACTGTCTGGAAGGAGATATTAATTACCTGCAAGGACAGGGATTGTAGGTTCTCAGAGATAGGGTAAACAAGCCCTATTTCCTGCAAGGACAGAGTTAGGTCATGAAAGCTCCACTATGTCTGGAAAGACAGGGGGTTAGGTTACCAGAGCCCCACTTCCTGTAAGGACAGAGTTAGGTCACGAGAGCTCCAGTTCCTGTAAGGACAGAGTAAGGCCAGGAGAGCTCCACTATGTCTGGAAGGACAGGGTTATAGGGTAATCATGGAGCCGGGCCACTGCCTGGAAGGACAGCAGGGTAAGGTCACAAGAGCCCCACTCCGTCTGGAAGGATAGAGATAGGGTAAACGAGTCCCACTTTCTGTAAGGACAGAGTTGTGTCAGAAGAGCTCCACAGTGATGATGTCTGGAAGGACAGGGTTATAGGGTAATCGTGTAGCGCAACTACCTGGAAGGACCGCAGGGTTAGGTCACGAGAGCTCCACTCTGTCTGAGGGTCGGGGCTGGGGTAAGGGAGCTGGGTGACAGTGATGAAGTGCTTTTAGATTTGATACAATGATTATGTTACTTAGATGTCAGTCTGATGTATCTGTCTGGAGTCTGTAGAAGTAATTAAAATCTTACACAGGCTTCCATTGTTATTGCTTTTAAAACCTTTTTACAATAAAGACATGCAAGTTTGTTTGGCCGCATAGATTTAAGACCAACATTGATATTATTGGAAAAGTAATCAAACATACAAAGCAATATATTATTTCAGTTGGACAAAAATGTTTCCTGATATTTTAAAATGTGTAAGCTAAAAAAAATTTTTTTTATTTAAAACGCAATTTGACAGCTTATCAATGGTTTCAAAGCAGTGCTTACTTGAGACATTTAGCCTCTAATTCCGTATGAAAGGGGGTCTGGGGGAGGGGATATATTCAGAGCTCGAAATTTAAGTCTGGTTCTTGAAACCCCTGGAACCTCCAGAGATTATATGACACTTGCATACAGAAATATATGTGGTACTAATGTCATAATTATACCAGTTGAAATTACACTTGCTGACTTCCTTTCTCTAGCTCAAGGTCACATAACTTGTCCTGGACACGCTTAATCAGGTGTAGAATATGAGTTGTATGACAAAGGTCAATATTCCTTTTATTTGTGTGACAAATGAAACCATGCTTATACAAGTTGAACTGCTTTTCCTGTCTATTGACATTTTGAAGAATCTGACATTGATATTAATTTGGTTAATTGATAGATATATCCTGACAATCGCCCATTCAAGCCACTAGCTGTCGCATCATCTAAACAAATTGAACAGAAATCAGAAGTATCTAAAAAAGGAAACAAAATCAGTCCGCGAATAAAACTGCGAGGATCACTGTCGCTGCCCCTATTTGATTGGTGGGTTGACTCCTCTTCCAGTAATCATGGAACGTTAGGCTAACTGAAGCAAACATCAGTTTCTGTTTGAAATCTGTTTATTATACTTGTACGTGAGTGAATGTTTGATAATCAGTGAATCCTGTGCGACGTTGCAGACATTGGACACAAGTTCCTTTGCAATCCGTCTCTTTGTTGATCATGTTGTCTGTGGTTCTCAGTTATCGTACGGCGTAACTATTTAAATGAACATTTGATTGGTTGTCATGTTTCATATTTCACAGAGCCATCATGAAATTATGAAGATCACAATAGGATGCTTCAAGTTTTGTTGATTTTGGTTCCGCTGTTCTGCTCTCTTTGATTTTCCGTTATTTCATTGTGGTGATATCAATACAGCGACATTATTGAGCAGAAAAATTGTTGTTCAAGGCTTTTTTAAAACTCTGTGAGGTTTTTAAATTCTGGTCATCTCGCTAATGTACATGTCCAAAAAAAAATATGATATTGAGACATGCCTTTTTAAAAAGAATAAATTGGATTGATATATTGCCAATATACGTTGTAATTCTAAAATGTGTTCTTTGCAAAATATTTGCTTGTTTTGCAGTTATATCTGAAATAAATAATGTTTCTGATGATAGTTTGGTATCAAATTACATTTATAGGTTAACTTTTTATTTATCTCAACATTTGGAAATAATCATTTACATTCTCAGTAATTATGATTTAATTCTTATACAATTAACGGTATTTGTCATGTTTTGTAATTCATATTTAATTCCAAAACTTACGAGTGACAATGATGAACGGCTGCCTGTTAAATTATTGCTTAATGGAGGTCTAGTGATATATATGGCAGCCGACTTTGACTTATAACTTAATTGTTCATAAGCCGACGCAAAGCTTGGGTTTGTGATCTCCCATGAATAATTTCATCAATATCACAATGGAAAATACAATATACAATTTCGTTTTGACAAAATGATGCCATAAACTGTCTACATACACCACACCACACACTTAAGCCTGTGAAATGATTACACTGTACTTTGCGACTGATATAATATCTGTTTGATTAAAAAAAAGTGTTATTTTCAATATTGGTAATAAGAACGCCTGAATGCCAACACCATATTGTGGCATTAAGTCAATAGCTTGGCGCCAGACGCTTTTTGTTGACGCCAGATTTAAAATCCAAATCATAAAGTACAACAAAAGATGACAGAATTATTAAAAACCAATTTCCGTATTCCGGGGATATTTTGCAAGTTTGGGACCAGGCAGACAGATTCGGCCATACTATCTTAAGCTTTTGAGCAAGCAGGCTTCACACTTCAGTCAATACACTGTCACTGGCTGCCCATTTGTGTTCATTTAAATACAGAAACATCAATACCTCTTAAAGCAATCCAAATGCTTCTTGACAGCCAAATTTCTGTAAGAACATTATCAGAGTCAGTATGGGTTTTACTCTTCCTTCCTCTGTTGGCACACAAATTCTCATGGAACAATTACTTGTTTGCTGTTTGGGTGTTTTCACTAAATTGTCAGATTTTCAAAGTGGCGTTGCGTCAAGAGAGAGAGCTAGTGGATATTTCTGCAGTCCGTTTTTTATGTCTATTTCCCTTTCAAATGCTAATCTTTCCCACTACACCATCAAGGTGTGAAGAGTTTTTTCAATGGCAGACAATTTCTGGGATTAAAATCACTGTTGGGATTGTGACAGCATTCAAATGCTTTCCAAGCAAATTTTTTATCTAGAATAATAATCATTTTTTCTCACAATATTCTGTAAAAGAGTGAAACATGTTGGCATTCAACACTAATGTCTGGTTGTGTTAGCTGTCTTCGCATATTTTGTCTGTTTTGTTTTTTGTATTATCATAAGTGTTTATTTCAAACCTAAATAGTTAAGCTATACAGTAAACACTTTACACTTCATCATAGTTACTGGGACCATATTTATTTTTTGAGATACTGATACTGTGAATGTACTTACTTATAAGCATGCTCAAATTTGAACTCAATATTGAATTCTAACAGATTAGTGTATTATTGAATTGGTGTGCCCACAAAACAATATACAGAAACTAATTAGCAAAACAATAAAACAAGATTACATTAAAAAATTATATTTACATCTGTTTCCGAGGACAGAAGATGACTGGTTTGGGAATAGATATTGATTCAGACACAAATAAAGAGCGTGATGAGCTGTCATTATTTCTTTTTTTTTAATTCATATCTTTGCAAATGTTTCTTTTAAAGGGTGTAGAAAATAAAATGATTTACAAGATACAACATGTAGCATCTTGACTTTCATCACTTCTTGTTTAAACTAGCTTAAAAACAGAAACCAACTTCAATTGGTTATCTGTTTAACTTAATTGTTCTCAAAGACCACTGGAGAAAATAAAAATGTGAGGGGTTTCATGTTTCAACTACAGTGAAACCTTGTTACACCGTAATCGTTGGTAGTGATATATATATATCAAAGGATTTTCAAGAAGTTGTAGAGAAACAAAAAGAGGGTCCTGAACTATTTAACGACCGCAACTGAAATGGCAAACAAAATTGGTATAATATTGATATTTACTTTAATTATACTGTATTTAGAAATGTTCAATAACTTTTATTATATCGTTGATACATATTTATCTGTATTATATTCCTATTTGTTTAGATTAGTTCAAATACAATTCTGACCTAGTATTCGATCTTTCTGTCATTGCAGGCCTGTACTTATGGGAGCATATCTTTGATGGAGTACTAGAGCGAAGACTTCAAGGGATCTGGAGTTATGGGGAGAAAACAATTGGAAACATCAAGTTTAGGTAAGTGTCAACAGTAGTGCATGCAAGTGTGAACTTAACACAGATCCTTGGTGGGAAAAAATGCCCAATTCCTTGATTCAGCATCGATATTTCCAGAGAAGACCACCTTAATGAGCCAGGTGTATCCCAGGCCTGCTTCAAGGAGTTATCGTACTCTGCAAGAGAGAACTACTGTATCCCGGGAAACTTTCGCACCATCAAATATTCAACCTTTACCAGTGAAATCTATATGTTCACCCCGTGTTAATGTCATCCTTTGTGTGCTGTTACCACCTATGGTATGTTGGCCAATCATACTTGCTGTCATGATGTATTTGCCCTCATCGCAGAGGGCAGAAAAAAAGGTCGAAAGTTAAACTGTGGTGAAGATCTCCTAGTACATGCAAACAGTACGTATCGTCTTTGCCAGGGTACGTACACATTGTGGAGAATGCATGCACCTTCCTTTCACTAACCAGGTTTTCCTAAGCTGCAGCCTGGAGTTGGTGATTTCATGGTGTTCCCTTCTTCTGATTATGTTACCAAACACAGATATCTCCTCACAAAGCTGAGTAGAAGTCGGGAGGGGGGTTAAGCCTCTTGGCCCATTAAAATATGATGACTTTGTTATAGAGTAAAATGCAGCATTTCCTCTTGGTGTTTTGTCCTTTGTGCCTTTTTTTATTATGGTATGGGTTTGGCCGGCCGGCTGGCGTAAACTTTTGTTTGTCCAGCAATCTCCTCCTACATTTTTCGACCGATCTCTTTGAAACTTGGTATACATTATAAACATGATATGAAGTTGTGTCTCCCTTAAAAGAGTTTTGATTCAACAATTTTTGCAAAAGTTATTACCCTTTGGTTATTTCAGTATTTGATTTTTGTTTGGCAATCTCCTACATTTTTCAACGGATCTCTTTGAAACTTGGTATACATTTTAATCATGATATGGAGTTGTGTCTCCCTGAAGAGAATTTTGATTTGATGATTTTTGCAGAAGTTACTGCCCTTTGTTCATTTCAGTATTTGATTTTTTGTCCGGAGATTTTCTCCTACATTTTTTATAGCATGTCAGCTAACCACTCTTAGAATGATGCAGATCTTGTTTCAATGTAAGAAAGTATATATCACTATATGGCATTCGACGGGCGTATATTGTTCCGCCCCGCGGTACTCTTGTTCAGTTTCAGTTGCCTTCTACAGACTTTCTGATCTGTGTGACGATCAGTTATCTGGGGGGAGTAAGGGCAGGGTGCAGCATGGGGGTGGCGGACAGATCCATGGAGATGAGACATTCTGGACATAGATGATTTCTCAGGGATTATTATCTGGTCAGCGAGTCTTACTGACCCTGTTTTTGATGGCCTCCTTCATTTGTCCATCTCTTTTTGGGGATATACTTTTGAGGACTCTGAGCTCACGAGGCTTACTCTGAGGCTTCCATTCTTCGTTTCTGCTCTAAACCCAGTTTGACCTAACAGTTAACGGCCACAGAATAGAGAAGGGAGGCAAAAATCATCCTGGCAAAAAAAGTTATATAGTTCTTAACTCGCCTTTGCTTTGAATCTGCAGTTCAGCCTAATGCAATTAGGTTTACAATCTTTCCAGCCCAAGGTACATCATGTATATTGGTTTTACAGTAAAAACAACTAAATTTTGAACTTTACAATTCCAAATGATACCTCTGCCCTACTTAATTATCAGAGGCTATGTAATAAAGGGCACAAGATCAATGAAAGCTTAGGTACAATACCTAATCGTCTTATACAGACAATATTGCCTTCTTTTTTTAACCTTCAAATTCCTGCAGGATTTTTTATGGAATTCTAAGTAACTTATTTTTGGGACTTCAGGTGAGTTTTCAAAAATAGTTTTGACTTCTTCATGAAGTTTGGCGTAGGTGTTGGATATATACGTATGACATTTATTCAATCAGCATCTTTTGCATGTTCCAAAATTTCTATTTTTAGATTCTGTGATGAACTTTGACCTTTGTATTTGATTCTATATGACAGTATCCTGTATCGTTGATTAGTCTATATAGTATAACATATCAGATATTATGTCTATTAATTGATTTCTCCCGAGTCCTGATGAGTTCTCGATGACCTTTGCCTTGCCTTTAATGACCTTTGTGACCTTTTGAAGGAGTAGACATCCAAGGACATGTAGTTGACCCCTGTCTGCCACTCAAACTGACCGCAATCAGCCTCAGGTTGGTGCAGTGGGAAATTTTCGGACAATGACACTGTGGCCTTGAAGCTGTACTCTGAAATATATATACGAATATCCAGTGTCTGAATCTAAGACATGCAATAGATCATCTCGGATATATATGTAAAAGCTTGCTTACATGGATATATTGATTTATCTTCTCACCCATTTAGGTCTGTTGAACAGACCTATTACAAATTGAAAAAGATCCCATTGACGCTTAATTTGTCAGGATAAAAAAAAAAAAGTCTTATTTATTTATTCATGTTTACTTATATTGATTTCATTGCAAAATTAACGTCAAATTAAAAAAAAATCGTCCCAAAACTGCTAAAAATTATTCTGAATTAATGTTGCAAACAGATTTCTTTTTTACTTTTCCACATGCAGTTGTGCCGGTCTTCTAAACTTTTATGTCAATTATAAACATTCCAAACCTATTGCTGTATGATTTAATTATTCTCCTTTTTTTTTTACTTTTTGATTTTGATTAATTAGCCCAGGCAACAAATAATAAATATGCTATGTGGTTACCCAGTCTGTAGGAATTCCTTTGAAATATTTTGATCATCCACAAGGCCAATTCTTTAAGAATTGTGTGATTACCCTCCAACTCCAACTCAGGCTATACTTAGAACGTTGTGATAACCCAGACATTAGTTTGTGATTCCCAGGCAATACTTTAAACTTTAGGATTACCCAGCCAATCTTTTACACATTTTTATTACCCAGACAATCTTTTGCACATTTTGATTCCCCTGCCAATCTTTTACACATTGTGATTCCACTGCCAATCCTTTATAAACATTGAGATTCCCCTGTCAATCCTTTACAAATTGTGATTACACTGCCAATCCTTTACACATTGTGATTACACTGCCAATCCTTTATAAACATTGAGATTACCCTGTCAATCCTTTACACATTTTGATTACCCTGCCAATCCTTTACACATTTTGATTACCCTGCCAATCCTTTACACATTGTGATTACACTGCCAATCCTTTATAAACATTGTGATTACCCTGCCAATCCTTTATAAACATTGAGATTACCCTGCCAATCCTTTCCACATTGTGATTACCCAGCCAATCCTTTATTAACATTGTGATTACCCAGCCACTCCTTTATAAACATAAACATTGTGATTACCCAGCCAATCCTTTATAAACATCATGATTATCCAGCCAATCCTTAGATATAAACATCATGATTACCCAGCCAATCACACTTTGAATACCCAGCCAATCCTTTACACACTTTGAATACCCAGCCTTAGTCCATTATGAATATTATGATTACCCAGCCAATCCTTCATAAACATCATGATTACCCACACAGTCTTCATAAACATCATGATTACCCAGCCAATCCTTAAATATAAACATCATGATTACCCAGCCAATCCTTAAATATAAACATTATGATTACCCAGCCAATCCTTTACACACTTTGGGATTACCCAGCCAATCCGTTATAACCTTTGTTATGCCTGCTTGTGAATGTCTTTGAGTATTCCATTTGCTGTTCTAAAGTAACCAATAATCACAGGTTCTGTCAAGTATATGTGGAAAAAAAGATAAATTGATTGACAGTTTAATTACAATTCCTGTGCCAAGGACAGATAGGATATCTGCTCACAGAGAAAGCATATCATTACTTTCCCTTCATTGGATAGGCAGCTATCGGAGTATATTATCTGCTAGCATTCTGATGGGTACATATTTTCTTCTTTAAATGTTTCTTAGAATTACTCGTCTATATGAGTAGGTATCTGCCTGTGTTACTGCATTCTAAATTGTCTTTGCTATTATAAATATACAAACATAGACCCATCAGACGCTGATTCCCAGTATAGAGTTATGTCCCCTTGAATATATAACACCCACATTAATGCTAATGGAATATACTTTGTTTGCCGTTAGTACTAGCAGTTCCCATATATTAACACGAAAGGCATGTTTGTGTAGTTGATCCTCTTCATCCTCGTTAACTGTGCGCTGATGGCTTCTTTGTCTTCAGCATATCTTTAATGTGGACCACCATTAATTAATTTAAGGATCCCTGTCCCACTGCACTGTGGTATTTCCTATATACAGTTACCTCCCCTTAACTTCTGTTTAAATATAACTGTAGCACAGTTTCAGGGAAAACCCTAAATTTGAGAGGAGAGGGCCGTTTCAGCAATTTTAAGTCAATATCAAAATTAAGAGGGGCCATTCTTTGTAATATTTAACAAAAATTGGAACATGGAGGGGCCAATTACAGTTTTGAGGGGTCAATGGCCCAATACAAAATGGCCCCCTCCAGGATTATCCCTGCAGTTTTGCCATGCTACTCCCATTGACCAGGTGGCTAAATTAGTGAGAGCGATCGTATAACAATCTGAAGTTCAGACTTCGAATCCCTGACTCAGAACACAGTGGTTGATCTATATTTTGTTTATTTCATATCTGTTATTTCTCATAAAAGTACCACAAGATAGGGTATTCTATTCAGAAATGACTTATCATATCTATAGTCATGCCAAAAAGAACCTGCTTCCAATACTTGGTTACAGTTTCTGGCAGTGGTACGGGGAGCCTTAAAAAGTGACTCCATGCATTTTGATGTCAGCTTCACTAGGAATCTTGGGACCTCCATACGGAGCCTTAAACAAATTGTACAGTGTTGATGGTGTTTAACCCTTATGCAGCCTGTACAGTGTTGTTGATGTTTAACTCTTATGCAGCCTGTACAGTGTTGATGATGTTTAACTCTTATGCAGCCTGTTCAGTGCTGATGATGTTAGACTCTTATGCAGCCTG